GGATTTGTTTTGTATTTTCGTTTTTTTTTTTTTTTTTTTTTTTTTTTTTTTTTTTTTTTTTTTTTTTTTTTTTTTTTTTTGAGAGGATTCTATGCCGAAGATTTCTGACTTACATCCAAAAAACACCATCGTCCGATAGATTAGTTCGTTGGGTAACTTGATTAACTACCTACGGTAAATACTCCTTTGGGGCATTTAACTTTGACGTACCTGGCCGCAAATTCGGCGTTTTTTGAACCGAAATCGTCAAGTCGTACAGGTAGGAACCCCGTGAGCCCTGACGATTTCGGTTCAAAAAACGCCAAAATTGAGGCCAGGAACTTCAGCAAAATTAAATACCCATTTAACTTCTTTGACGTACCTGGCCGCAATTTCGGCGTTTCTTTAACCGAATTCGTCAAGTCTTACAGGTGGGAATACGATAAGCCCTGACGATTTCGGTTCCAAAAAAAATGTCAAAAATTGAGCCCAGGAACTTCAAAGTTAAATGCCCAAAATGCCCATTTAACTTCTTTGACGTACCTGGCCGCAATTTCGGCATTTTTTTTAACCGAAATCGTGACGTCTTACAGGTGGGAATCGGGTAAAAGCCCTGACGATTTCGGTTCAAAACATGCCGAAAATGCGGCCACGAACTTCAAAGTTAAAATGCCCATTTAACTATTTAACTTTGACGTACCTGGCCGCAATTTTGGCATTTTTTTTTTAACCGCAATCGTCAGGCCTTACAGGTGGGAATCCCGTAAAAGCCCTGACCATTTCGGTTCAAAAAACGCCAAAATTGCGGCTAGGTGCGTCAAAGTTAAATGCCCAAAGGGGTACATATCTGGATTGGATTTCACTGACGAACTTCTACTACTACCCTCTGCTTTATTTTTTACTTTTTTTGTTCTACCCCTCTGTTTTAGTTTCAATTAGAGGATGATGGCGTTAGAGGGACAACTTAAATAACCAAAAAAAAGTAAAATAAAAAAATTTAAAAAAATTGACTAACATTAAAAGGAACAAAAAAAGAAAACAAACCGTTGCTCAACTGGGGTGTAGTGAATTTAATTCACATGTCTCTTGTCTTTCTTTCTTTTCGTCGAAAATGCAAAAGGACGTAATACGTATCGATCTGATTCAAATCCGGATTCGAACACGTGACCTATTCATTAAAAGCTGCATGTGTTTTTTTTAACTCAGCATTCAGCCACATGGGCACGGTGCACGAAGGGTTTCATAATTAAAAAAAAAAAAAAGAAGGGTTTCATAATTTGATTGGACGAGGGGGATTTTTCTGTTTTCTTCTATTTCAAAACCAACAAAAAAAAAAAAAAGGCATAAAATCGAGAATACATGAACTTTTCTGTTTTCTTCTATTTCAAAACCAGAAAAAAAAAAAGAAAAAAAAAGGCATAAAATCGAGAATACATGAAATTTCCGGTTTCTGTAACTGACCTGCCGCTTGACCTCCTCTTCTCTTCTCCTCCACTCTTCCTCCTCTGCAGCGCGATACGCTTCGCTATCTTTCACGATCTCTCGTGTCAAACCCACGATACACGCTCTTTCCTGTTGTAGTTGCTGCTGCCGGTCCTCTTCTGCTGCTTTCCCCTCCTCCTCCTCCTCCTCCTCCTCCTCCTCCTTGTTCTCGCCTCTCGTTTCCTGTTCTTTCCCCTTCCCCCCTGCCTCTTCCATTTCTTCCTCCTCGCTTATCACCGAGATGACCCCGTTCTCACAGCCATTCCCTGGATACCCACTACCGTTCCTCTCGGCATGGACATCACTACCACCCACCACCTCGCTCGCCTTCGCATCGTCGGCAACAGATTCCCTCCTCCTCCTCCCATTCTCCTCTCCTCCCAACTCCACTCCTCCTCTGGCAGGACAAGACGTCGTCGGCTCATTGCCCTCGCCTTGACCTCGCACACCCCGACCACCTTGCTCTTCACACCCATCGGTACGACCGGTCGCTCCATCCTCCTCACGTTCAGCGCAGATCCCGGGTGCCAATCTATTCCCAGAGAGCTCCCCGCCCATCGGCTCCTGCTGCCTTTCGGTGGCACCAGAGGTTGGGCGAGGGTCCTCACCCTCCCCCCCTTCCCCCCCGCTCCCCTTCCGCTCCTCTCCTTCTGGCGCACTCCGCTCCTTCCACACCTCTTCTTCCCTTTTGGAAGCCCCCTCCGTCATACCACCACCGTTCACGCCTTCCGCTCCTCCTCCTCCATCCCTTCCCCCAACACCCACCTTCTCTCCGCCCCGCCCTTCCGCATCTTTGTCCAGGCCAAAGCTACCGCGACTTCCCCCGTCTCCGCCGACCTCCGCTCCTACCACCCCCCCCCTGCTCCCGCTCCCGGACGCCGCACCACGTCGGAACTTACCCATCTTCAGCTCGTCATTGGTCGCACAAAACCGTTCGTACCGCTCGCCCATTGGCCTGAATCGCCCCTTCTCTCCTTCTCGCCCTCCTCCTCTGCGCCCACCCAAGCTAAACACCCCTGGTCCTCCCCTCCCTCTCCCCCCGGCATTGCTCAGACTCGCGACCCGGGAACTCCATCTTTCCCAGGCGTCGTTGGAGTCCTGCTCCCCTGCCAGCCCCCCGCCAGGAACCGCGCCCGCTCCCCGCCCCGCTTCATCGCTGCCCGACGCCCCCACTTCACCGTTCCCCGTCGTCTCATCTGCTGCTGCTCCCCCACCGCCACCCTTCTCTCCTCCTCCCGCAGCTCTCCCTTCCACTGCCACAGATGGCGACCCGCTCCGCGCC